TTGCTGCTCTTGGCACTTACAGATTTTTAACATTCTATTGTTCAAACAAAATTATGGCCAGGCAGAATTTCCTTAACTCAAGATTCTTGCTACATTGTATTGCACTGCTCAACAAATGCAACACTTGATTTTCAAGTTAGGGTTTTTCTTTGTTATAGAAGGTCAACTGCTATTTGAGTTTAGAGTCACAGACTGAGAGAAAATATGTGGTATCTTACATGACAGCAGTTCGATTATACCTCTGCAATTGCTGTCAGGCAATGTCCTTCATATTGTCTGAATGAGAGGGGTAGATGAGCCAGCAAGTTCAACTGAATACAAAACTGGACACGAACATGAACACTCAATGAAGAGTGAACACAACCATCAATCCATGAGGCATGTCAGTCCATTTAGATCTCTGTCTAACTGGTCTCAACAAATTACAAAGATGTACATATGAATAAACTGAAATTAATGTAGTGTGAAATATTTATGACAAGCACAATGTAATTTTGAAAACATGTGCCACCATTGCGCATTCAAGTCTTATGATAATGACAATGAAGTTGAGCATGAAAATTGGACCATGTTGCAAAAACTCTTGTTTGATTGTGGTCAGCAATGGTTTCTGCTGTTGCTCCACCACATCCATTCACTAGCAGATTATCCACTGTAGCTTCCACTCTGAGAAGATCACTAGCTATCTTGTGTTGTCTGCATTATGATTCTTCTGGAGCAGTGATATGTCAAATGGCATGCACAACCATCTATATTTCCCAAAGATTGTCCAGAATGTGGTTAGAAAACTGTTGCTTTCATCCATCCCTCCTTGCCAGTAGCCACAAATTGCATCCAAGGTGGTGAAGGTTTTAGCTTTTGCAAATTTTGTCAAAATTCCTTTGATGGTTAGCACGGGGGTAGTGAGATCTTTATTCAGGGATTTGCTTTGATCCTTGGATCAAGGCTTGCTCTCAGCTTCCCAGGGTGCTTCACTAGTACCATGTTGCCGATCTATTCTGTAGGACTTATTATTTTCTCAATTACTCCCTTCTATTCCAGCTGTTCTATCTAGTCTTTTAGGCTGGGCTTGAAGGCAACTGGAACTTTCCTTGTCAGGTGTTGTCTTGATCATTCTTTCCCATCTAGTTCAAGATGATATTCTCCTGGAAGACATCATAACTCTGTAACACATTGTTGTAGTCCTCCAGGGTCTATTCAATAGGCTTCATTTTTTAACTGTCTTGACACTTCACATAGGCCTGTGAACATCATGGTGTTGTGAAATGCATCACTATCTAGGTGACACCATATGTTGACCTGATGGTCTCCTTTTGCAGACTGCATTCCAACAGTCACCCACCAAACCTCAATTTGACTGAAGTAAGCTATTGCATGTATCAAGTGATTCAGTGGACTCCTCAGTTGATATCGCTCCAGCAACCATCTCTAAGTACTTGTTGGCTTCGATTCACCCAGATACTCGTGTGCAGAAATTATTTTGCTTCTTGCTGTGAGAGCACTGCTTTTCTCTGGCTGGACATACCTCTTCCCCTTTTTGTGATGTCCTTTACAATATGTGTATCCTGCCCTTTGCCTGCGATTATATGTTACTGTGACAGGAATATGTCTGCATAAAGCAAATCCTAATCATTTTTCTGAAGAAGGTTCTAGGCCCAAAACGTCAGCTTTCCTGCTCCTCTGATGCTGCTTGGCCTGCTGTGTTCATCCAGCTCTACACCTTGTTATCTCAGATTCTCTAGCATCAGCAGTTCCTACTATCTCTCTCCTAATCCATACAGCCATGAATATGCTCTTTCTATTGATTCACAACCTCAGTACTTCTGCATATGTCAATTGCTCTCAGAAGTGTTTTTCCTTTCTCAGTAGGTATGCTTTCAAATTACAATAGGATTAGATTTTAGTGTCAAATGTACTCAAGTACAGAGATAGAGGAGTGCAGTGAAAAGTTGTCATTCCTAGCACCATCTTAGGTACAAACGTACCCAGGTATAAAATCTTGGGATTAAGTATTAAAATAAATAAATAAAGTTAAAAGTTCAACATTACAGTCCTTCTCAAGTGCTTAGCTATGGACCTGGATCCAGGCTCTTCCACCCCGATGCCGAGACCAACACTAGCACGAAGCAGTCAGCCAGCCTTAAGTTCTTTCACTGCCACAGAACTGTGTCACCATTCTTCAGCGCCATCTTGCCTCTATCAAAGACGCCAGCGCTGCCATGAGTCTGCGCAGGGTCAATCTCAGCAATGAAGTTTTAGGGTCCTGCACCGGGTACTGGGCCCAAACCTGCCTCCTTCTGCCACTGCCGGGAACACAATCTTACCTCCATCCACCACCACCTCTGGCAGGAGCTCAAACCCGACTCCCATTACCACCACTGCCGGGAAGAAACCTTCCATCACATGGACGTTGAGCTGTCACCTCATGATCACTTATACCTAATGCAATCCTGTCTTTAATTAGGTCATCCTTTAATTGTGAAAATTCACAGATTTCAGTGAGCTAAGTTCATGACGTTATGTATTAATCAATTGATTCTTTTTCACCTTGTTCCCTAATATTAAAATGTACCACTTATATGTGATCTTCACTTATGGTTCAAAGCTTGCTTTTGAAGCTTTAAAACTTCTGCTGTGTATTTTTCTGCTCTTCAGAGGGATTTAGGGTAAATCACATTTTGAAACATATTTTGAGTCACTTCCCGACGGTAATAAAAGTGTAGTGACCCAGAACTGTTCTGGCATGGTCAACAATCTGTAGCTATTGTATATTCTACCAATGTGCATGGAAGAAATTCCAGTGTTGCTTCATAAACTCTATAACTTGAAAAGGAACTGCTGGAGTAAAAGCTGCAGCTATTTTACATTTACCAGAGTTTTAACTTAGCTTGCTTCTTTGAACTATGTTTTTAATTAAATTGGCAGCAACATACAGTTCTGCACATACCTGTGTTTGTGTCTGGAGCTGTGCTTTCTTACAGTTCTGCAACACTCACCTCAGTGTCACTTCTGATACCATGTTTCTTGCATACAGCACAGCACTGTGTACGCCACAAGGTCTTTATTGAAGAGAACTTAAGATATTCGTCTACAGTGTGTGTGCCCCATGGTATCGGTCACCAAAACTACAGCAGGTCAGGAAGGACATTTGTATTTAATTCATTCTATTTTGAGTTAAAATAAACTTAAACCTTTGATGTGACTGACCAAGAGTTTTTTTAAATAATAATTCATGGAATGTGAGTGTTGGTGACTGGGCCAGTGTTTGTGGCTGAACCCTAACTGCCCCTTGAACTGCCTGGCTTTTAGAGCTATATCAAAGGGCGGTTAAGAGCCAACCACATTGCTATGTGTATGGAGTTACCTTTAGACCAGACCAGGTAAAGATTCCAGAATTCTTTCCATAATGGACATTAGTTAACCAGATAAATTGAAAAAAGGTGAGCCATTTCATCCATCTTCCTTGGTTATAACAACAGTTATTGAATTCCAACATAATTAGATCCAAATAGCGATATTAGCTGTTGTAAACAGTCACAGTACATTCTTTAGGCAAGGTATAATGGTGTAATTGGTGGCCCCATCCAGCATCTAGAAAGCTAATTGCAGCCTCACCACCACCATTTTTGAAAGCCCCAACAGGAATATATGTTAAGGAAGTGGTTAATGGCTTTCCATCAAGATTCCCATGCCTTTAACGAACCCTCAAAAGCTGCCATTTAATCAGCGAGACAGCAGTAGTTCAGTCCTACCAGCACCACCACAGATGCCGGTCAATGCTGGAGCTGCAGCATTGACAGAGGAAGTCTGAGAACATAGCTGAGGGGGTCAGGCTTATTGAGGCCAGGCAAGCAGACCCCAATGAGGGGAACAGAATTGTAGAGGGCTCTATCAGTGAGGGCAGCTCCTCCTGGTGGGTGTGGGTGATCATGACCTTCCTTTTCCCTGATTTAATCTCGGGCAAGTTGACAAGATGAGGAGCGCTCCACCCTTTACCTTTCTTACCATTTCTGTAGATCCTCTCTACTTGATAAATTCTATCTACCAGCACATTTCCTAGGCTGGGGTTATCTAATTTCCAACTATGCACTTAACTTCTGATTGCACGTGGCCTCAGATGGCTTGAAAGCATCATAGACAGAAAACAGGACTGAACTCACCACCAAAACTATAAAGTCTTCTAAAAGTATCAACAAAAGGAAGGGAAAGGACTCCCAGTTACACACTCGGATTATAGTTAAACTATAACTATAGACTGGCGATGTTCTGAAGGACTCCCAGTTACACACTCGGATTATAGTTAAACTATAACTATAGACTGGCGATGTTCTGAAGGACTCCCAGTTACACACTCGGATTATAGTTAAACTATAACTATAGACTGGCGATGTTCTGATAGGTTAGAATGTCTATTTCCTATTCCAACCCTGCAATTTCCTGTCTTGTGTTTCCTCCAATTTCTGTAGTATGTTCTTAACAGAACTCCAGCCACCTAAAGGGAACCTGATATCGTTAGGTCACAGGATTCTTGTGGCGTAATATGAGATCCACTGGAACAGAGGGAGAAAGAGATGCTAAAATATCCAAACCCATCATCAACAGAACTTTTTGTTATTATTGTCACCTGATACTGACTACTATATTCCCCATGGCAGCCTCTGGTAAAAGTAATAACAGAATGGACAGGAAGGAATTCCAAGTGGGTCTGAGCTTCACTGCCATCTAAATGCAAGAGTGGGAACAATCAAATCTTAACTCCTCTCTAAAGTAGCCTCGCAAGCAATGCAGTTGCATAACATTGCTAAGAAAACACAGAAGGTCTTACCTAGGAGTATTGTAGGGGCACCTTCACTACACAGATTGTAGTATGCAAAGTTAAAATCTTTTTAGGGTAACTAAACTGCACAATAAATGCCCGCCTTGCCAGCAAAGTCCAAATCCAAGATTGCCTGCTTTAAGATCACTCCGAAGACCTGGTTTCAATGTGGGAAACATCATACCTGGGTATTGCCTGAAGAATCCATTAGCACTCCCGAAGTACTGCCATAAAAGAGAAGGGTCACGTTCGAAATTGTCAACAAAAATTTTGTTTAATGCTTCAGACCAGGAAACTCCATTTACTATGGCAGGGTCTGTAAAATAAGAATAAAAAGTCTTTGTCATCAATGTAAGAAAATCATTTCCCACAAAATTCACATCTTTACAAAACAATTCTAATTTTAGTTTGACTTTCAAGTGAGCTCAGTGAATGAAATTATTGGCAGGTTGGAGAAGGGTGGGTCACGTTGGGAAATCAGAAAAGTACTATCAGAGCTGGTTTGGGCACAAACTCCCTGTATGCGGCATGGTGGTTCAATGGTTAGCACTGCTGCCTCACAGGACCAGGGACCCGGGACTAATTCCAGCCTTGGGTGACTGTCTGTGTGGAGTTTGCACGTTCTCCCTGTGTCTGCGTGAGTTTCCTCCGGTTGCTCTGGTTTCCTCCCACAGTCCAAAATGTGCAGGTTAGGTTGATTAGGCTATGCTAAATCGCCCTTAGTGTCTAGGGTGGGAAATGTAGAGATAGGGTCAGGAGTGGGTCTGGGTGGGATGCTCTTTGCAGGGTTGGTGTGGACTCGATAGACTGAATGGCCTGTTTCCACAGTGGAGGGATTCTATGGATATTATTTTCTCAGTCATGTAAGGCACATGATATGGGCTGATCCTTGATATAGTGTGCAGAAAACTTGATAAGTGAATCAAAACAAAATACATAAACTCTGAATTAAAATGGAACATTTCAAGGTTTTCAGCATGGGGAACTGTACAAACCTATGTAGAGAGGAGCCGAACCATGAAGATGGACAGATCATTGTTTCAATTCAAGCTCTGTGTTAAAGCTAGTTATCTAAACCTAGTGAACAATGACATAATAATTAGCCTAATTTCCCCAGGTAATGGGAAATGAAATTGTTCAGGTCTCTTGTTCACCTGTTGCAAGTGTTCAAGTATGGATATAGAGTGAGGTCAGGATCAGACTGTAACTGAATAGTCAACCTCATGAATAAGGTTCACTTTTGTGCGAATTGTGAGGTGTTTTCAGTCAAATATTCTAGGAAGGAAACGAAGAAGTGAAAGTTACGGAGAACACAGAAGGAGTACTGAGGTGAGATATATTGTAAACAAAAGCAAAATACTGTAAATGCTGAAAATCTGCAATAACAATAGAAAGTGATAGAGAAACTCAGCAGGTCTGGCAGCATCTGTGAAGGGAGAAACTGTTAACATTTCAAGTCCAAAACCAATTTAAAAGACTGCACTATTGACCTCTAATTGCATATTAACTTATTCAACAAAGAAATAATTGCATTATACTAGCCATGAACCTATCCTTTGTATAGGTCCCTGTTAACAGTGCAATCTGAGTGGACAATGAATTCAAAACACTACAATCCTTTCAGGTGCAATGCAATATCTTCCACCATAGCTGCTGAGACAAAACTGTGCTGTCAAAAATAATTGAAAATACCTTCAAGAAGCAAACCAGTAAAAAGTTGGACCTAGTGAACAGGTTATTTTGGCAAAATAAGAAAACCTAAAGAACTGCAGATACTGGAAATCAGAAACAAAAACAGAAATTGCTGGGAAAACTCAGCAGGTCTGCCAACATCTGTGGAGAGAAATCAGAGTTAACATTTCAGGTCTAGTGACCGTTCAGAAGAAGGGTCACTGGATCCAAAACGTTAACTCTGATTTCTCTTCTGGCAAAATATGTAGATTGGGCTAAACAGCAGGACAGAACTGTTTTTCACGTTATACATCTGCAGGCTTTGTCCTGTGTATAACAATGCTGCCTTTCATTTGATTTTGATACAGTGGAAAAAAAATGTGGGCAAAAGCGAAGATGATCAGTAAATATGGATCTTTCTATGGAATTAATTGCTTATAATTTTAATTGTCATTGCATAATTCAATAAACTAAAGAACTGTTAAATGAGCTTGCAGATCATTTTCTGTGCATAGTTATAAAGTGAATACATCTGACATACGCACTGAAGCGTTAAATTGAATTTGTTTGCTAGCGATACCATACTTGTCCTAAAATCCATCCACTGATTCAGTTTGGGGAAAGGGCCTGAAATGATGGATATTTTTATCTATTTAAATTACCTGAAACTGAGGTCAGAGCTGAAATTCATCTCAGGAACCCTTTTACGAAATAAATTGAGGCAAAATGTTAAAATAAAGCTTCAATACCTTTATGAATTTTTTTTGTTAGTTTTTTGAGTTGTGTTCAACCCGTAATGAGTGAAAAAAACATCATTATTTTGAATTGGCTTGCAATTAACAGTGTTATTTAGCTTTATATTTGTTTTTTTGTTTTGAATATATGCATTTGATAGATGATGTCTTTAAAATGTGAAAAACAAATGCAAAAAAAACCTAACTGTATGCCAAAAAAAAACAACAGAATGGGAAGAAACAAACATTGTTAATTTAAGAAGGAAAAGTGAGTAGGAAGTTAACTCAAATGTGAAATAAGATGCTTGATCAATGGTTCCCACTTCCAGCCTGTTTCAATTCAAGTGAAAATGAGATGGACCTCTATTTATGTAGCTTTTTTTAAAATGCATTCACGGGATGACGGTATTGCTGGCAAGGTCAGCGTTTATTGCCCACCCCTAATTGCCTAGAGGGCAGTGAAAAGTCAACCATATTGCTGTGGGTCTGGGGTCACATGTAGTCCAGACCAGGTAAGGATAGCAGTTTCCTTTCCTGAAGGACATTAGTGAATGAGATGGGGTTTTTGCCTGCCAATCAACAATGAATCCATGGCCGTCATTAGACTCTTAATTCCAGATTTTTATTGGATTCAAATTCCACTATCTGCCTTGGCAGGATTTGATTCTGCGTCCCCAGAACATTACCTGGGTCTCTAGATTAACAGTCTGGCAATAATACCACTAATGTTATTCCACCACCACCACACCCAACCCCCATTGCCAACCCCCCACCCCACCCCGGCCCTACAATCCTTACAATACTAGGATGTCCTGAAACAATTCTGAAGAACATTTTTGAATTGAAGTGCAGTTATAGTTCTTATGTAGGGAATGCCACAGCATGGACCTACAAACAATAATGTGATTGTGACTAGATCCTCTGTTTTACTGATGCTGATTGAAAATACCACAGAGCACTTCATTGCTTGTCTTCAAATAATACTGTGTAATATTTTACATCTTACACAACAGATGGCAATTCCAAAAGTACAGAATACCCTTAGTAATTCACTTGCGTGTAAGGACTTAGATTTGATGCCTGAATCTGCGGAGTTTCTGACTCAGAGGTGAGAGCACTACGACCAACTGATGGTTGGCATATGCGTGACGGCTAATTATAGTATTAGAGATTATAATATTGTGATAAAGAATGGAAAGTCGGAGGATTGGGGTGGGGTTTAAAATTCAGCAAAGAATGACAGGAAGTTAATAAGGAAGAAAACAATCTGTGAGTAAACTGACAGGAAATATAAAAACAGATTTTTAAGAGTTTTTAAAAGTAAGCAAAAAAGAAGAGATCAGTAAAAGTAAATGAGAGCTCCTTAGAAGTAGAGAAAGGAGAAATTATAAACAGAAATAAGGAAACATCAGAGATATTAAGCAAATACTTTATATCTGTTTTCACATAGAAGATACAAAGACAATCTGGAAATTATGGGCAATCTAAGGTCTAAGGAGAGTGAGGACTATCATAAAATTGATTAATACTGGCAAAAGGTACCGGAGAAGTTAAAACTAGAAATTGGCAAATCCCCATCATCCTGTCGGCCCTACACCTTAAGGTTTAAAAAGAAGTGGATGGAAAGTTAACAATGGATAAACCCAGACTATGATGTATTTAAATTTTAATTCACCATGTGTTTTCTTTATAAGAGGACATATCACCAAAAGAAATGACTGAGTGCAAATTCTGAGCAATGTGACTATCTGCATGGATTATCCCCAGCTTCAGGGGAGGCCAAGGAATGAGATTGTTGACTTGCTCGCTGGGCTGCCTTGTTTTTGTTCAGACATTTCATCACCATGCTCGGTAATATCATCAGTGGAGCCTCTGATGAAGCTTCATCGGGTGAAGTCATTAGATGATGATGTCACCTAGCATGGTGATGAAACATCTGAACGAGAACAAGCCAGCTTAGCGAGCAAGTCAACAACCTTACCCTCAACCCGAGCTACAGATCGTTGCCAAAACTTTAGAGGTCAAGGAATATCACACCCGATGAGTGTCATAGATGCTTCAAATAGAAGAACTTATAAAAGAGAAAAATGCACTGCAAGCTGAACTGGAATCCCTTGTAACTGATCTCAGACTGCAAACATGACGGGAGAAAAGAGAACACTCTGGGCTAGAGACATGTTGTGCTTTCTCCTTTCAAGAATACAAGAAAATTGGTTAAAAACCATTTTGAACTCTGGTATGTGGGTGTTAGAGTGTGAAGACATGTGCTGTGAGGGCTACTGCTGAGAAAACTCACAGTCATCCCTACACTGCGGGTAAAATGAAAGGAAGTCTCTCACTCTCTCTTTGCTCAAGATAGAAAGCAAGTGAAGCCACAATTGAAAGGAAACAGGACAAAAGCCTTCTGGCTGACCCTCAAAGTTAAGCTTCTCATAGTCAGCTGTTTACCTGTAAACATTACTGCTAGCTGTATCACCCAATAGCATGGTCATGTAATCTATAGTGTCCCATTAACTATTCTTCATGGAACTCAGAAAGTATCCATTTTTTACAACCTTTTTTGGGCACAACTATTATTTCTAATGTATGTGCATTATTATTTCTTCTCACATTGAGTAAATAATATGCACACTCTTTCATTAACTCAAAAAACCTGGTTTAATTGGCTCCATTTAAAACATATATTCCTTTGGTCTGGGGAAAAAGGCATCCACAAGGTAAAAGATCCTTTTTAAATTATATCTTGTTGCAACCAACCAGGTGAATTAAAAAAAGGGAGTCAGCATCCCTCATAATCTGGGACCTTAACAATTCAGATATCCTGTCTGTAACAGTAATAAATTGACAAACATTGCCTGGTGACAGAGACGAGAATTATTTCATATTTTCTAGACTATTCCCTACAGTATGG